ACACACACACACACACACACACAGAGAGAGAGAGAGAGAGAGAGAGAGAGAGAGAGAGAGAGAGAGAGAGAGAGAGAGAGAGAGAGAGAGAGAGAGAGAGAAGCGCTGCTGTAGTGTGGGGGCTGGTGATTGCCTTGAACCCCTTGGATACTGCTGCATCTACAGGGGCTGGTGAGTGCCTTGAACCCCTTGGATACTGCTGCATCTACAGTATGCCATGGGATTACCATTGCTTAAGATGTGATATTAAGGAACTGCAAGAAGTTAGATTTTAATTTGGGGGGCTGTCTGTGTGTGGGGAGGGGGTTGGAGGGGGGTTGGGGGGGGAAAGGGCATGGGGCCTTATCCTGCGGATCATTTTGAACCCCTTCGATACTGCTTTGACTTTGCGACAACCCTTTTCTACCATTTCCGGCTCTGTGGGTTTTCTATAATGCTTTTTATATGGCAGTTTCTCAGAGATGAAAGGAGTAAGTTGTGAAGGTGATCTTGCACAATTGCATGGTCTTTTAGTTTATATTCTCTGGAAATCTTAGATTTCTCCTTGTCTCGCAGCAGAACTTTGGCATGTACAAAACTGAGAGTTAGTTCTGTTTATTAATTTTGTTAAATTTATTTAGTATTCAGTATTTAGTATTTAGTATTTACTGTTTACTATTCACCGGACATGATGAAGACATTGTAATATGTACATGTGGGCAGTGCGACGGTTTTTGGTTCACTCGACTGCTTGTTGTGACATGTTGTCGTAACTGTTAGGTCTAGGGTCTTGGCAGGTGTTTTTTTCCATGATGGGGCTGTTGTAACAGTAGACACCGGCATCACAGTCATAAGAGAACGCGATCAAGTGATGTGAATCTCTGCTCCCTCCACCTCTTGGGTTTAGGATTTAGGATTTTTTTTTTTTTTTTTTTTTTTTTTTTTTTTTTTCACCACAAGGCCCCATGTGCAAGACCTCCATCCTGGTGGTGGTAAGAGAACCACCAAGGTTGTATTTTCCATGGTGGGGATTCTTGACCGCCGGCCTTGCTTTTGCAACAGTAGACTCCTCAATTATAATCATAAGGGAACCCAATCAAGAGCTTTGACTTGCCCGTGGAATAGGAACCGGGCTGATGCTCCCCAGAAAAAAAAAACAAAAAGAGAGAAAAAATGTGATACTGGTATGTCCAGCGCCAGGCTTAAATACCTGCCGACTGCCGATCCCGACTGCTGTCTGTTTGCAGCCAACCAGTAGAGCTGACTGGTTGGCGGCCTGCTGACAGCCATCCACTGATTTTTTTTCAAATCTGAGTTGGGGGCTGTACTGCGTTTGCTGAGTACAGCCCAAAAATTTGCTGAGAAACTTTTGGGGACGGGGGGGGGGGCGGGGGGTATAGGGGGAATAGCGGCGGGGGGGGGGGGGGGGGGGGGGGGGGGGGGGGGGGGGGGGGGGGGGGGGGGGGGGGGGGGGGGGGGGGGGGGGGTGAGGGTGTTAGGGGGCGGTTTGGGGGTGTTTGGGGGGGTGTTGGTGTGGTTATCGAGGGTTATGAACTCCCAGGAAAAAGAAATATGGGGATTGTTCTGTTTTTTTGGCGAGGTGCCGACGACCCCCGACCGGTAGGTGCTGACCAATCAAGGGGAGCCGGCCGTCGGGGTATGCAACACTGTCCAGCACAAAAAAAAAAAAAAAAGGAGCTCTGAATTGCTGCTCTATTGGCTGTGGTGTCATTCATTTTTGACATATGGTCATGCTAGCCAATGGCATACTGCCCTCCTCAGAGAACTGAAATATCCGATATTTGAAATTGCTAGAGTCTAGAGATAGATCTCTAGAGATTTATCTCTTCTTTTTGATTCACCCTTTCCATTCAGGGAAAAAGGATAATTGAGAATATATCGATTGTATATTATTCTAATTACTTCTATTTGAATTGTTTAATTCATACTTTTTAATGAGGACTTCATCATTCACTCTTCACTTTTTGGCTTGTGATTCCTTTCTTTGAAGTCTTTCCAGCTTTGTGTTTTTTGAAAAAGAAGTGGCAGGCCCTAGAACTGTCATTTTGCATTCAGCTGAAGTGTTGCAAATACTCGTGAGAGTGTTACAACTTGGACTGTAATCCTGGGAACTAGCGAATCTGGGAATTTAAACGTGTGCAGCATTAAATGGACTCTAGATGCTAGGGTCTCTAGGTGGTGCTATCGCGCACTCCTCAAGTGGAGTTGCGAGTTCTTTGGATATTGTGCCTGTCACTCGCTGGCATATTGTGGGAAACTGTGAATCCTTAAGGTGCTGAAGGCATGGGCAGGCTTTGGGTGGTGTAAATGTATTCCAACTTCCAAGAACACTTGAGGTGCTCTTGCTTCTATCGAAGCAACGGTGTTCAGTTGGTTCTAAACATGTCCTGGTGTGGCGGGGATCTGAAAGGGGGGTTTGTAAAAGATTGTGGAGATGCCCTTCTGCGTGGAAGGAGGGGGTCTGAAAGGGGTTTTGTAATCGATTGTGGTGATGATTGCAGGCTCTGCGACGGTGGGACTATTGCTGAAAGAATCGAGGAGCGATTCGATAGGAAGCGGTGAGCATGACAGTTCCGGTGATGGTGGGTGCCTGACAGACCTCAAGTGGCTCTTGGCGGGCAACTTGGGGTTCTTTTTTTTGGTTTTTCTTCTCGTTGGTTCTGCAAGCGTGGAGTTCCTCCAATGGAGGTGGTGGGGGTCTCCTGTTCCCTATCGCTTTCCCATCCTTCTGAGTTTGCAGCCTCTCAATATCAAGCCGGACGATGGCGGTGGGGACCACGTCTGTTTCTGAACCTCATATCAAGTTGAACCCTGCCTCTCTCTCGGCGAAACATTAACTGCAGTTACTGTACTGAAGAACTAAACATGAGCTAACCTTAATAAGTTAATCACTGAACAGAATAGCTGAGGGTGGAATCAACGTTTCTGCAACATATTAATATCTGGGAAGCGCTCTGTCCTTTTTGGCAGAGCAGAGGTTTGGCAATGCATACTTCGGACCGCATGCTTGATCAAAGGGATGGTGTTAGGAAGCACTTGCTTCTCACCTTATGCAGTTCTGTAAGACCGCCAGTACATGTCCTCAGCCTTGCAAGATTTCTTCAGGGCTCACTCGGGGCTACCGGACCACAAGGGCTGCATGGCCCCCCCGCCGAAAAAGAAAAAAAGTGTGCTGTGGGGAGTTTGGCAAAGCTTGGTGCTGCCAGGCCCGGGTGTACTAGTGGTTTAAACTTTAAACTTTAAATCACCACTACCTTTCACAGGCAACTCGAAACCTCCTAAGGATGCGGTATAGCCATTCCGCATTCTGCATTCTTTGCAGGCCGGGCGCCACTGGGCCAAAATGCCAGGCGGCACCAGCCAAAACAAAAAAAAAAAGTTGTGCTGAGGCTTAGGCCAAGCTTGGTGCGCAGTTCTCTTCTGCCTCGGCAAAAAGGGGCTCAGAGATAGTGGTGGCTGAAGACACTCTGCATGGCGGGTATGTAAGCGTAGTCTTCAAACTTCCTATGGATGATTGACTCCTACTGCCCCCTAAACAAGGAAATCAATTCCAAGGTAATTAGGACAACGAATTGGGTTATTTAAAAAAAGGGTAGGCTGAGCTCTAGCAGGTTGCAGAAAAATGCAATTTATATCATGGCTGGTCCCCGGATGGACCGGGGCACCTCCTCCAACCGGGCTCCTCCCGGTCGGACCGGCCAGTGGACCGGGCTGGTTGCCTCCCGGTCGCTCTAAGCGCATTTTCGCTGGGGGCCGGAATTTTCTTTTGGCTGCCCGGTTGTGTAGGGGAGGCCTTCTGGAGGCAGGCCCTGCCCCTCAAATGCGAACGGGGTCCGGTGGGCCCGTGAATTTTAAAGCAAAGAAACGGCCGATCTTTGCCGCCAATCGTCGCAGATCAGCGTCAAGATCGGTCGTTTCTTTGCATGCGATTGGGCGGGAACGAGCACTATTTGGAAAAATGCGCGCTGGGGAAGAACACATTGCGGATTCAACCCCCGTTCACCGTGAGGAAACGAGCCTGCCCCTCCGCGCGATGCAGCTGCACGATCACCACGGCCATCACTTCTGCCAGCCAGACATTGCGCCCCCCGCCCACGCCATCGAGCCCCCTGCCGAGAAGGTTTGTACCCCCACGATCTTCTTTTCTTTTTTCTTCCCTTCTCTTTCATCTTGTTTTCTTCCTCTTATTTTTTCTTTCTTCTTTTCTTGTTCGCCAGGTTTTCTTTTCTTCTTTTTCTTCTTCTTCTTCTTTCTTCTTCGTTTTCTTCCTCCACTCCTCTCTTTCTTCTTCTTCGACGTCTGCTCCTCTTCTCTGTCTTCTTCTTCTTCTTCTTCCACTCGTCTTCTTGTTCTCTTCTTCCACTCCTAGTCTTCCCCTCTTCTTCTCCTCCTCTTCTTCTTCGACTCCTTTCACTCCTCTTCTTCTGTTTTCCCCCCTCGTCTCCGTCCTCTTCTCTTCTTCGTTCTCGTCTTCTTCCTCCCCTCGTGCTCCTCGTCTTCTTCTTTGTCCCTTCATCGTCTCCTTTTCTTGGTCCCCCCCCCCGCGAATGTGGACCTGCCCCTTCGCTTCTTCCTGCGGTACAAGTTCAGAGAGAGAGAGAGAGAGAGCAGAGCCAGAGAGAGGCCGAGAGGGGCATCAGTTAGAGAGAGAGAGAGAGAGAGAGAGAGAGAGAGAGAGAGAGAGAGAGAGAGAGAGAGAGAGAGAGAGAGAGAGAGAGAAGGGGGGGGGAGGGGGGAAGTCGGGAACATACCTGTTCGTGTTGTTGTGATCAAAGCCGCTGGTGACCTGGACTCTTCAATTGTATAATATCATAATTTTGAGTGAATTTCCAATTGGCGCTGCTTCATGTGTTGGCTCTCAAGTGTGGTGTGAACTTTCATCTGAACTTTCCCTACATGCATATTGTTTTGTGAGTTGGATCTTGCGAGGCTCATTTGGATCTTGCGAGGCTCATTGCAGATTGATAGATAGGGGAAAAAAAAGGATTGATGGACAGATGGACAGATGGACAGAGAGATGTTATTTATGCATCCCTGGTAGGGTGACATTGCCGTGCAAGACCCCAATGTTTGGAATTGTAAAGATGAAAGTTTTGTGTCCAGCTGATGTGGATAGCCTTCGCTGTCCTGGACAGTAGGAGGAATGAAATGCTCTGATGATGTTCAATTCATAATCCAAGACTCAACGTCGAGACAGTGATGTAAACTGCAACACAAGAAGAAGTGGATATTCACCAGGGGAGAAGGATGACGAGAGAAGAAGATGGACGGACGGAGAGAGAGAGGTTATTTTTGCACCGTATGGGTAGGGTGACATGGTCGTGAAAGGCCCCAATGTTTGGAATTTGTAAAGGTTATGTAGTTTGTAGCCTTTGGTGTCCTGGATAGCAGAGGAGTGACGTGCTATGATCATGTTCAATTCATAATCCAAGACTTTGGGGCCGTGCTGTAAACTGCAACACAAGAAGAACTTGAAGTTGCTAAGTAAATACTAAATAGCCATTACTGTCAAGAATAAGCAAAATGGAAATTATAAATGACATACATCTTCGTGAGTACAAGAAGAATGGAAAAAGTATAGGTAGTATCGGTGGTGGTGGTAGTGGTGATGGTGGTGGTGGCGCCGGCGGCAACGGCAGAAGCAGCAGTAGCAGCAGCAGAAGCAGAAGAAGAAGAAGAAGAAGAAGAAGAAGAAGAAGAAGAAGAAGGGGACTGGAATGCTGCCTTAGACTCATCCGTAGACCGCATCTCCAGGTTCACCTCCTCCCAAGCGTCTTAAGAAGCATCCCCAATTAAGCAACTCATGCTTGACCTGAACCTACTGGATCCGTTCCGAATCTTATATACCCTGACAGAAAAGCATTCTCATGGTCTAAGAGAACCGCGCAAATCATACAGCCTTCTCAAGGACCGACTATTTCCTCTCCTCGGAATCCTTGATGAGAACAGTCAAGGAGACGGATATTCTTTCACTAGCCTCCTGCGCTCCCCCCCCCCCCCTCCCCCTCCTAAAAAAAACAGGGCCTAATGGTCCTCGCTGGGGAGTGTCAGTCCAATTCCTTTCCACCGGCAAGTCTAAGAGAATACAGCTCTAGACAACATTGATTGCTCCATCTTCGTGGAGGATTGACTGGCAGCTTCCCTTTGTACTAAAGTCCTCTCAGCTAGGGTGTACCCTGGCTGTCGGGTCCACTTAAAGCTCTAGACACTGGGAGAGGCCAAACCCTTTCCTAGCTCCATTGCTCATTGTTGCTGTCCACCTAGTTGTCCTGCTATACCCAGATTGTAGATGATTCTTCTTGTGTCTGGGAGATCTCCCGACCTGTTGCTGGGTCTGAGTTGTGCCAGTCCTTCCACCTCAGGTTAAGTCCGTTTAGTCATGCAACTTTACCGTCGCCAACCAAATCCAATTGAATTTTGTAATTACCATCTCTTTTGTTTTCGGACTGTTTTGCACCCATGGTTTGACATTCTTCCACTGGCAAAGAATTTCCATCTCGATCGTCCCTTCAGTGGCCGCCCAAACCTTGGTGCCCTTCAGCGTTCTGCTGCATCTCTCTTTCCAAATAGCCTAGAGTAGTAGAGTGTGACCTTGCGTATCATTCCGAACCAGATCCTTTCCGATTTGCTCAGGTTAGAGTGTTTTTTTTTTTTTGTTTTTTTTTTTTTTGCTCAGGTTAGAGGGTAATTTAGTCAGGAGGAGAAGGTGAAGGGGGCCGTTCTGGAAGGGGGCGATAGGAAAAGGCTGTTCCATAGATCCGATGTGCTCGCCCAGTAATCTGTAGCTTCTTTGCAGCTAATCAGACAGTGTATTAAGTATTCTCATTCCTGATCCAAGCAGGCTTTGCAGATATCGGAGCTGTTCGGATCATTCTTCCTTCTTCTCACGTGCAACCACTGATTTACCGGCACGGCAGCGTATGCTATGAGCCACTGCATGCTTCTGAGTTTGATCGGTCTTATGGTTGTGCATTTTTTTCATGGGATCCTAGATATTTGTTCCGAGTCATCGCCAATTAGCTTACCCCACCCTGCCCTTGATTACGGGTCCTTTGTTTTCAATAACATCTTGTAGCCTAGCTTGATCGTATGCGCAGAAATTGGAGTGGGTGGTTTGCTGGTGCTGTCTCTCTCTGAGAGCCAGGCCCATTCCTGTGCGTCAAATTCTAGGTCTTGAATTGATGTTCCGATCTGAAAAATCTGTTTCAGCCACATTCCCATCACCGTCACTTTGCGAAGTGTGAAGGCCTGCATCGTTAGCGTGTAGATCTGAGTTGATAGTCAGGAAGACTTCAGGAGGGACTACTGCATCTTCTTCAAAGAATGGACTAAGGTGGACCAAGGAATGCCGTTGCGCTCACCCTCAGAGTTCCCGGACCCTTTCCCTCCCCATCAACTGTCTTTGGTGTACATGCAATGGTACAATGCAAAGCGAAAGGACACAGGGCAATGAGATGGAGAACCGCTGGGCAGAGCAGTTTGGAGTTCTGTTGGATTCCAGGCAAAGACAGCACTGGTGGGCGGGTGAATGCAGGTTGAAGAGACGGAGATGGACTGGCCACCTACATACAGCATCTTTTTACCCAGTCGCTTTTGGTAGGCATAGCACCGTATCTTTTGGTCATGTGGGACAGTGCCTGCGCAGTCAATCCCCGGTAACACGGGCAATCAATGCTGGCAGGAGACAGTGTGAAAATCAGCTTTGAAGATGTTCAGTGGGATGCTGGACCCGTTTTCCAGCAGGTGCTGCTCCCCACCAATAGATTGGGGCAACCAGGCGGCCCGCTAGGAGGGGATGCTCATATCACTCCCCCTAGCGTGGTAGCATGGTTTTTTTGGAGAAAAAAAAAAGAAAAAAGATCTGAGTTGATAACGAACGGTCCACTGGATAGGAAAGGACATGAAGATAGTCGTTGACCCTTGTATTGCTTGTCGATGAGAGAATTGGTATGCCCTTGTTGGAGTGTTGTCCTGGATTAGTATTCCCCATCCTACTGATTTCCAGGTGAATTCCTCTCTAAGCAGTTCTTTCCAGCTGTCTGGAATCCTTTGTATGATCTCTGCAAATTCTCATCTCTGTGGTGGCAGCCTTTCAGCTGGGTTTCGAGGTCATCTTCGTCCAGCCAGTTTTTCCTTTCGTCATTCCATATATCCCTCACTCTCCCGATCCAATTTTTGATCCAGGTTAACCACCTGCTGCCCGTATGGGATAGAGTCCAGGGGTGGTTCCCTTCGTCTCTTACCCATGGGTTTCCAAAGAGCGGTTGTTCTTTTGACTTTGGTCTGATCAGCTTGCTTGGCATGATTTCTCTCCAAACTCGTAGCAAAGCTGTCCAGTAGGGCAAGGATCCTTGCTCCTGTCATGGAGCTTCTCCTCTCACTCGCCTCGTCCTTCCTGTTTTTGGACTCCAGTCTTTGTTCATCACCCGGAATAGAACTGACCTATTTGGGGGGCCACACTGGTGGTGCCAAGTTTCTAATACTGTCTAGAGCCAGCTTGTTCCAAGCTAGCGATTTATTAGTCAACAGTTTGATTATCCATTCGGTTTGGAGTGCTTTTGTTTCTTGTCTGGGGTCTATTATCCCCAAGCCTCCTTGAGCCGGTCTCCTCGCGATATAGTGCCATGCTACCTTTGGTATGTACTATGTAGTTATTTTTCTTGGGGTCCCGGTCTCCCCGTGATATAGTGCCATGCTACCTTTGGTATGTACTATGTAGTTATCTTTCTTGGGGTCCCCTGACCATACGCATGCTCTCGCTTTCTGCTTCAGGTCTTTGATTGTCTGGTCAGGTATGGTCCAGATCAATGCGATGTACCGCATCATGGAGAATATGGAAGTGTTGATGGTTAGCGCACGGCCCAGCAGGGATATGAAGGTCTGGCTCCATTTTCACATATTGTTAATTTGGCTGTTCAGTAGGTTCTGTGTCATCTGAGGAGGCGGTCCATTTTTTGTTTTTTGAATTTGCAGGTACCTCGCGGGGGACTCCGGCCTTTCCCACATCATGTCAGCTTCAGGACCTTGGAGCTGTGGAACAGGCTCTTCTGAAAGCCACCATCCTATTGTCTTCCCCCAGTTTATCTTCATCTCCGATGCTAGCCTGAATGCTTCCATTGCTCTGACTAGTGCTGCCATGGAAGAGTTGGAAGCTCATATTAACACTGTAAGGTTGTCAGCGAACATGATTGCTGTGGGAAGTGGCAGGTGATGAGGGGAGCCTTACGTTCATTTCCGGCAGTCTTTGAATAGACGGGTCTTTGCGCAGGAAAGAAGCTATGGCCTCCATGACAAAGAGGAAGATGGGTGGAGCTAGGGGGTCCCCTTGGCGCACAGATCTGGAAATCTGATAGCTTTTTGATAGTAGCCCGTTGATCTGGACGCAGCCAGACGCGTCATTGTATAGGACTCTAACCCACTTTCTGAAATTTGGTGCCCATGCCCATCTTTTCCATGCTTGCTTCTAGGAAGGCCCAGCTCACCTGGTGGTATGCCTTTTCGAAGCCGAAGAACAGAATGACCGAGTTGATGTTCTTCTCTATAATTTTCTTGAGGCCTCGTTTAGCGTCGTGACATTATCAAGAATGTATTGTCCTGGTATGGATCCACCCTGATCTATGTGAAAAGCATTTGCCCGTTTGATCCCAAATTCTGAAGGCTAAGGTTTTAGCTAGAATTTTGTAGGGGAGCGTGAGCAGGGAGATCGGCCCTATAGTTCCTGATGTCTTCTCGCTCACCCTTTTTATAGACTGTGACAACACTAGTGCTTAGATTTTTCCAATACCCTCTTTTTCCCAACAGTCGTTGTAGAAATGCATCAGGTCGTCCCTCGGGACATCTGTTAAAATTGGAACGATGCAGAGAAGATTAGCATGGCCCCTGCGCAAGGATGACACACATAAATCGAGAAACGGTCCAAATTAAACCACTAGTACCTCCGCCAGTGCTGGGAAAATAGGGAAAAGTGGACGTTTTCCCGAACTCCTGAAATTTCGGAGGCCGGGCCCTACGACGGCTGCCATTGATAAATCTGATCAGCAGCTGTCGTTTTGTTTCGGCCTCCAAAAAGGTCGGAGGCCCACCAGAGGCCCGCTATTTTCCCACGCGCCAAAGGTACTAGTGGATGTTTTCCCAAACTCCGGAAAAAGAAAGAAAGAAAGAAATGCATCAGGTCCGTTCCCAGTAGAGACCAGAATTTCTCCCAGAATTCTTTTGCAAGCCTGTCTATACTCGGAGTCTTGTTGTTGTTCATGCTCCAAACTGCAAAGAGTAGCTCTTCCGGAGTTGTCCAAGTTGTCTGCCTGCTCTTTTGAGAGGGTCTTGTCTAAATATTGGAGCATCCTTGATCTGGCTTCCCGGACATGAGACAGAGTGGCGGACGGTGTCTTAGATTGGTAGAGGCCTTTGTAAAAGCTTTTTGCGACCTCTAACATCCCCTTTTTGCGACCTCTAACATCCCCTCGATTGCGTTAGATCTGTTGTGGGCTATTGTTCTGGCAAAGAAATGTTTGGACATGTGTTCATTTAGTTCCAGGTCTGTCATTCTGGCTCTGATTTGGAGGCCTTTCAGTTCCCACTGACGCCACGCTGCCAGTTCTTCCCTAGCTTTCTCGAAGACTTCCATATACATAAGGAAGGTGGGGTCGGTGGTTAGGTTGTTTTCCGCTATTCCGAGGACTGTTCCCAGCATGTGTTTTCTCAACTTTTCTGTCATTGCCAGTTTTCTTGATATTCTTGCTGCGGTTTGAACCCCTGTGAAACCACTCCCATCGGTCTTGACCAGGTAAGCATCCCCCCTTTGAGTTCTGCCACCCCTTGATGATGTTCTCCCTATAGACAAAGTGAATAACTCCCTTCTTTCACTAGCCTCCTAACCAGGCCTACCGTCTTCACACGAATAGAACGCCCTGTCATTATGGCTGTATTAGGTGCAACGTTCAGCGATAATGACCGGGCATTATATTCGGGTGAAGACGGCAGACCATAAACCTATCGAGCTAATCGTCAGTTATCATCAATTCATTAAGAAAGGGTCAAGATTTCACAAACTCGACAATTCTATTTTGCTGAGCAACGTGTTTCAAAGCAATGTGCTTGATTGTTGGCAGAATTCAAAACAGGCCTTCCTTTCTGGTCAGGACAGATGGGAGTGGTTCCAGAAAAGAAAAGAAAAAGTTACCTAGCATTATCCCAGACTGTGGCTAGAATCTCACGGAAGCTACCGTCTTCACCCGAATAGAACGCCCGGTCATTATCGCTGCATCTGGACCGAAAGTTGTACGAAATACAGCTATAATGGCCGGGCGTTCTATTCGAGTGAAGACGGTAGCCAACAACCGCAAACAAAGGAAGCACACCTATCCTATCTCAATGCCCCACTCATGCGAGGGTATCTTCCACCCTAATCCCCCCCTGGGCAGCTCACTCCAATTCTCTTCCTCCCTTCGTCTCGCTACCCTAAACTTCTTGTGCCGTAGGCTGCCACGATCTGGGTTAAGGAAGAGCCTCTTACGCCCTAATTAACTCGGAATTCCGCTCTTAGGGCAGCTTAAACCACCAGCACCAGTACTTCCTGAAGTCGTGCCCGTAAACGACCCTTGATTTTAGGAAACGTACGGGCCACTACAGGAGCGCCCAAATCCATCCAAGTAGAAACGATTCTACTCTTTATCTTTTTCCACGGCCGATAGCTGGGCCAAGTACTTGTGGTTTCACATGTCTCGCTTACAAGGTCGGTCAACATTTGATACCGATTGCTATGATCCTGCTCAATTCTCTAGAAGAAGTGGATTGAGACAAGGAAAGAAGTAGAGAATGAAGAAAGAAAAGACGACGAAGAGGAAGCACACAAAATTGAACAATGTCATCTCCTCCTCTCGCCGTCATTGTGAACCCTCAATCTCCTAACTCCCCTTATTAACAAAATTATGCACAGCAGATTGTTCTGATTATGGAACCACCACCCATGCCCTTTTTGAAAACAAGGAATCAGTGAAAACGGCTTCCCCTTTTTTGCTTACATGCTGCAATGTGGTGCCAAAAGCAAAAGTCAAATTTTGCAGGTCTGCGCGCACCATCAGTGCAATCTTGAATCTTGGTTGGTTTGGTCTTGGGATGAGAAGTTGGCTTTTGTTTGCTGAGTTATTCCCCTTTTTTGGCTCTGTTTTCGCAGGAATTTCTATTGTGAAAAGGAGGTGGCCTCCATTTTGAGGCAGATGCTCAAGGCAGTGGCATTCTGCCATGCAAATGGAGTAGCGCACAGAAATTTGAAGATAGAGGTAACTTGCATTTTGCCTTTTTTTTTTTTTTTTTTCAGTATCTTTTTTCAGTATCTCCGTTCTATTGATGGGGAGCAAAGTACCTGCTGGAAAGCGGGCCCAGTGTTGCATCTTGCCTTTCTTTGCAATCTAGTTCCAAAAGTCCCCTTCCCATTGGGTACAGCGTACCTGGACACTGGACACCAGATTGTCGGGAGTCCATCTGGACGTCAGGATTTGATCCAGAGCGTGGGAGTCCCTTCTTTTCTTTTCTTTTTTTGGTCCCCTCCCCCCCCCCCTCTTTGAATCGGGTGAATTTGTGAATGACGACCCTCAGCTGCAGGTTGTTTGTATTGCACTGCTGCACAACATTCGTTTTCGCTATGGAACTGGGCCGTCCGTGTGCCGACCTATCCAGAAATCAGGACAGGGCCGATAGGCTAAAAAATCCACAAAAGGAGTGGAAAAAAAAATAAAAAAGATCATATGGTATTGTGATTCATAGTAATTTCATATTAATTTCATAGTAATATATGATATTATCATATTATGCTTGCCAAATGGAGGACAAATCTGTGCAGGGTCAAGTGTTTTTTATCTCTCAAAAACATGTACGAGGGTCAAGTGTAGATTAGCATGGCCCCTGCGCAAGGATGACATGCATTATCGAGAAATGGTCCAAATTAAATTAAAAAAAAAAAAAAGGAAGGTCAAGTGGGGGCAGAGGGGTTATAGAGCCCTAGAGGGGTCTAAATGGGGTACTTAAAATGATATTTATCGTCCTTCAAAACTACCACCCACCCTTAGATTTTACGCAGAGCATGGACAAGTCATCGGGCTGGACGGTTGTGCGGGCTGTCGGATGGATGCTCCGGACAGCCAGGAGGGCCCGGGATGTCATGCCCGGTAGCCTAGCTTTTGCTAGATTCTGTAAATTGCTTTCAAAAATCAAAATTTTGGGAAATTATTTAGGCATCCAGATTTTGGGCCCCAGGCCACGTACTGTCTGGGCAATGCTCCGAATGTTCGGATGGTATTCATGCTTTAAAGTTTAAACCATGACTGCCTTGGCCATGAGGAGGTCCAAGGTTTTCAGTTTATTGGATTGAGGACCCGGTGGGCACAGGGTGTTTTCTGTTTCCTGTTCGCAGGGGTCTCGCCCCGATAGTGTGTGATGGTTTAATGTTTTTGTCTCAGGTTGGGCCATTGCATCCTACCAACCTGTATCCTTGCGTTTGTTTCGCCACCGGATGGAGGTTGGGTGGGTTGGCAGTCTTCTTATTTCCTCTGGTTTTGGGCTTTTTCCAGTTGAGCTGTGTGTGTTGGGTATTCTTGTGTGTTGTTTTGGTCTGAGAGAGGTAGGTAAACCTGAAGAATCTGGGTCTGCATTTTGGTTTGGGAAGGGGCACTTGTAGGATACAAAAGGGCGTGAAACGACAAAAGGTCCACCCTCAGTTTGTGTGTGTTTTGCCAATGACCTACCCCTTCTTTTTTTTCTTTTTTTTTTTGAATGCTCCGATGTATTCATGAGGAGCAGCACATGCTGGGAACCAGGCCCAGCATCCCTACACTTAAAGAAATCGCTATTTGGCACGCAACATTTGGCTGATCCAGGCCGCCCGCGGCCTACCGGTCGACGGCTCAGATTTCTGCACGATCTTAAGACTTTAAGACTAAGATCGCACGGCGATCCAGACCGTCCGCTTTGCCGGACGGCCTGGATCGTCGCGCGATCTTAAAGTCTTATGATCACGCAGAAATCCGGACCGTCGGGCCGGTAGGACCCTGGGCGGCCCAGATTGGCGCGCCCGTTGGAAACAGGGCCCGTTGCAGGGCGGTGCTTTCCCTGCACTGAAGTCCAACGGGCCCTCCCGCCTGCCCACCTCGACTCCGCCACCAGCTCCCACCTTCTGCCTCCTCCGCCCACCTCCTTTTGCCTCCTCAAGCCATCTCCCCTCCACCACCGCCCACCATCTCCTCTCGGCCTCCACCCACCATCTCCTCTCCGCCTCCGCCCACCTCTTCTCCGCCCGGCGCCCACCTCGCCTCCACCTCCGCCCACCTCCGCCCACCTTCCCTCCACCTCCCCCTGCCATCTCCTCTCCGCCTTCGCCCACCTCCCCTCCACCACCGCCCACCATCTCCTCCCTGCCTCCACCCACCGCTTCTCCGCTCAGGGGGCACCTCGCCTGCACCTCCTTCCGCCATCCCCCTCCCCTCCGCCTCCCCCCACCCCTTGGGATTCCTCTCCCACTTCTCCCTCGGCGCTCCCTTGCCAGTTCTCCGCCTGCACTCCTCCGCTTCCGCCTCCACCTACGCTCACCTCCGCCCACCTCACATCCGCCTCTGCCCACCTCACCACCACCTCTGCCCTCCTCACATACGGCCTGCCCACGTAGCTCTCTCTCTCTCTCTCTCTCTCTCTCTCTCTCTCTCTCTCTCTCTCT